ATTCCTTGTAGATGGTACCTCTGTCTGTCAGTCCACTGAGTGTCCATACAGAGTGGTGTTCTTGTACTGCTAGAAATTACCCTTGACCTGCTGTCAGTCTGCTTGCCCTGCCTGAGAACTCCTTCTCAAACAAGTAGCTGACAGGTATTCTGGAAACAATACAACTCAATCTTAAAAATATATATATTTCCCAAAAACCTTTGTAGCCGTTTTTATCTCAATGTCCTTCCTTACTGTTATACTTTCCCATTCAAATTGTAAAAAAATAAACACATATAGCTTTTTAGCAAAAGTCTATTTCTCAAGCATGAATTTTGCTAGGAGGGTCTGGGAGTGGTCTGAGTGAGGGGCCTAATTGGAGGGGCCTAATGGGAGGGATATGTAACCTGATAACGAGCTGTTATTGGCAGAGAGGTATCAAATTCTCTTTGTTATTGGTCTATTAATTTATACTGCCTGGGGATGTTACCAGGCAGGCCAAAACTCCACCCATGCAAAACCTACCGGATTAGAAGGTCCTGTGTAAATTGTATTTTCAACCAGCAACTATCAGGAAATAACACTGATCACATTTTTCACACATTTTAGTTTCATCAGCTGTTGTATAATATGATACAAATTACAGGAAAAACAGAATTTTGACTGTACTGGGCCTTTGAAGAGTATTTCTGTCATCTATCCTGTTCTGTCTGTCTCTGTCTCAATTTGTGTTGCAAGCCACTTTATTCAGCCAAATGCCTTTCTATGTTGTCATTTCATGAAAGCAGTTCCAGATAGAAGGACAACTCTTCCCGCTGACTCAATCTGCCGTGTGTACAGATTCCTTACATTACCACTTCCTGAAAGACACCCATTTCTAAAAGAAAAGTTATGAAGGAACAAAGCATGACTAATTATATACTTCCAGGGCTGGTTTCCCGGACACCGATTAAGACTAGTCCTGGAATGCACTTTCAATGAAGATTCTCCATTGAAAATGATTTTTAATCCAGGACTATAGGCTTAATCTGGGTCCGGGACATCGGCCCCAGTAGTTTTACAAATGCTATCCTTTGTAGTGGACTTCAAGTGCAGTGCAGCCTTGAGGTCCTGCAATATTGAGTTTTATAAAACAACTCTTTATATGCAAACACAATATCATGCATACGAACATAACATCCTTTACCATAACCAGGAGTTATGTTGACGGAGGAAAGGTGACAGTTCCACCACCTTATATTTCTAAAAACGATTGTGAAAGTGACAGTTATTTGCTGCCTAGAGCCTGAATTATTTCTATTCATAAACCAAGACACAATTTTCACAATCAACTTTGGTAACAGTATATACTGTAGTAGGTCAAAGTGGGACTGGATCAGTCAGGAGCCAGCCAGGCAATTCCTCTTGGGTGCTCCCAGTTTGGGTGTGGCAAGAAATATGGTTAGCGAACCACTGACCTAGTCCCACTTTGACCTACTATATACCGTTACCAAAGTTGATTGTGAAAATTGTGTCTTGGTTTATGAATAGAAATGATTCAGTTTCTAGGACACAGGGTAATCTATAGCCTGGTCCCAGATATGTTTGTGCTCCATGACAAGGAGTTAACATTATAGCACAAACAGATCTGGGACCAGACTAGGTAATCTAGTGTTTTAAAATAGAATGATGAGTTCTTGTTTAACAGAAGAAAGAATGTCCGCAAGTGCACCCAATGATCGAAGGAGAACCCTCTTTATTCTAACAGCCAGTCATTATTCAACTTCTTTATCATGCCCTGGATGTATTATTTTCCTATTAGATTGTAGCCTAATGTTTCCGGGGCTGCACTTTTCATTGCTTATGTCACACTGTGCTTCACTCCACTCCAACGCCATAGTTGGGTGGGCCCAGTATACATTTATTGGAATGCAATGGCTCCTTTAACCTATTTCATTGATTGGGGAGTGTCTCCCATTAAAGCTCAGAAGTGTGTCCACGGGGAAAGGAATAACCAGTCCCTCACTGCCTGCCTGCCTCCCTGCCAGGCCCTTCGCCCTGCCCTCGGGGGAGTGGCGGCTTCACCGGCACTTCATTTAGGCCTGTGTTCTCTTAGCCAGCTTATTTGCTGTAAATAGAAGCTCATTATAGCGGGGCCGACAAGTGCGTTGTGGTCTCAGCTCGATGCCTGCGTTCAGCCTGCCAGTGATTCTGGACTGGGTGGTTGAGGGTGCGGGGAGTGGGGGACGGTGTCCCGTGGGGCCCTATCTTGAGCTCTCAAACTGTCAGGGTTCAATGCGACAGTTTAGTTTGAGGATGTAAAAATTTTTGTCACCCTATCCTGTTACATCCCGGCAAATGACTTTTACCGCTGACATTTAGTTAGAGGAGAGACAGATGTGGTCGCAGTTTTCTTAAATCACCCATAGTCCTGTGCGATGCAATTCATCCAACTCAATTTTATACATCTTTAGCTAATAGCATAGTCGCCCTATTTTGTGACATCAATACAAAAAATCTCTCTCTCTATCTCCCTTTCTCTCTTTGTATCCTGTTTGAAGATGTCTCCCACGCTGCTGATGTGATATGTGACACAATGGATTAGACAAGGTACTGTAGAGCTCCCATGTTTCTAAGCATTCTCTGTAAAGTGATGTCAAGATGTCTTCACCAATACATTTTGGCTGAAGAGATATTCCAACTTTTTTTACACAGAGTAGCCTAGCTACAAGCCAAGTAATCTATATCATGAGTGGAGAACCCTTTAAAATATAAACCACAAACTAGCATAGAGGTAGGTCTACAGTAATGTGGATAAACTGTAATCAAACATCTACAGCAAGTCTTTGTATCTGGGTATAACATCACTTATTCATCGATAAGCCATTTCCGCGTAAAAAGGGGTCAATGTAAAATGTATTTACATTGTAATTATAATATTACAGTATAGGTACACATAATAATTACAGTGCAGGTATACTGTAGGCATATTTACATTGTTACTGTACACATAGTAGGCCTGCAGGCCTTTTAGAAACAAGTTTTCCATAGACAAGGTTCCGAAGAGTCCTCTTGGATGAAAGGTGTGCAATGTAGAACCCTTTTTTCTACTATACAGGCACAAAGGATTCTATATGCAACCCTTTTCATCCAAGAGGGTTTTTCAGAACCTTCTTGAAAAAAGGCTTGTGGTTCTAGGCAGGGGTGTAATTTCAGCTGGGGTGGGCACTAGCATTAAAAACTCTAGTTTAGTTTAATGTCAAGTCAAACAACAGTTACCTAGCTAAGGGTTAAGGTAAGGGTTAGGGTAGGGCCGTCCCCATCCATTTGTTTTTTCTTATATACAATATATACAAAGCTACTTTTGTTAAAATGATTGCTGAAATGAAATAGGACCGTTTTTTCAATTGCTCTCTAGCTAGTGATACTGGAAATAAATAACTATCCTTTGGGCAGTGTTGGAGAAGCTACTCTGAAAACATACACTGAACGAAATTTTCCATACGCACAAAAAGCTTATTTCTAAGGCCCATTGTGAGGCCCATTTTTTAAAAAGTTATCTGTGACCAACAGATGCATTTCTGTATTCCCAGTCATGTGAAATCCATAGCTTAGGACCTAATGAATTTATTTCAATTGACTGATTTCCTCATATGAACTGTAACTCAGTAAAATCAATGAAATTCTTGCATGTTGCGTTTATATTTTTGTTCAGTATAGTTTACCAAGCTACCAATTACTTTACACTGGAAGAAGTTTAGCTACACTTAAGCTACCCTTAAAGGGCCAGTTCGGGATTTATCTACCTCCCCAGACTTAGATGAACTCACGGATACCATGTTCATGTCTCTGCATCCAGTATGAAGGAAGTTAGAAGTAGTTTTGCGAGCCAATGCTAACTAGCGTTAGCACAATGACTGGAAGTATATGTTATCTACTAGCATGCTAGCAGTTACTGTAGAATTTCAGTCATTGTGCTGACGCTAGTTAACAACTTCCTTCAAACTGCAGGCAGAGACATACAAATTGTAACCAAGTGTTCTTTTGACTTAAGTAAATACATAAAGGGCTTCATTGCAAAAATACTGACGTATCATTTTAATAAAAACATAGTTTACTTATCCAATGAAAAAAGAAGTTCACTACATCCAAACTACTTCATGAAAAATTCTCAAATGTAAATCTGAAGTGTCATAGACTACAAATTGTAAGAACATATCACTTTGGGGTCATATGTTAACAGAATGTATTAAACACTAAAAGGATGTTGCAAGTGAGAATTGGGCAGGTCTGATGCCGAAAAAGAAAGGAAATGACTGCCTACTTAATCCATATTTTATTGCCTTTTAGCAAAATAACTAGTGTGTAGTTCCAGTAGTTAGCTACACCGCTACATGGCAAAACAATTTTTATTAGCTACTGAAAACACTACCTAGATTTGAATTTAGTTCAACTACCAACACTACCTAGATTTGAATTTAGTTGAACTACCACCAACTACTGCTAAATGTAGTTCAATTACATGCACTTCACTTCATCAAAACACTGCCCTTCGTCATCATCCTTACTGTCATCATCAGCATAAACTAAATTAGTTAGTGCGACCTGTGCGAAATATGATCTCCATGAAAGCGCCAACTGTCACAAGACTAAATCAAAGATGATCTATAATATTGACAAGATAGCCGAGTGACCGCTCTAACAATGAACATACGTTCATATGTCCTCAATAATTAAAGGCAGGCGAGACAGGGGGGACCATTCTAGCCAATGAGAGGTCAGATACACGTGTGAACAACAGGCACAACTGTGGTGGTCGTTTTTCTCAGAGTTGCCGTAATGCCACGTACATTCACTTATATCAGTACATTTGTAACAGTCTTCTGTTACAAACTTCTATTCGATCAAATAAGCCTCACGTTATTCGACACTCTCTCATATACCTCCATACAAAAAAGGGCTTATCTCACGCAGACAGATTTTGGGCGGAGTAAATGCTCTCGCTTCGCCTCTTCCTCTCTGACTAAACTGTTCCTGTGAGTCACATGACAGCTCGCAAACCTCCTGACTCCTTTCTGTCGATTGTTTTCTTACTCGGATATTATTGCTAAAGGAAGATGGCTGCGGAGATGGAACCTCCACCACTGGGAGATGCAGGACAGACTGACTTCAGGGAGATAGAAGATGGAGAAGGCCTTTTTGTCAGTACTGTCACTACGCTAGAGGTAAGAGTGATCCGAGGCCGACGTATAAAAGCAGCTAGGGGCTTGATGCTCATTGATACAGTACTAGACGACAAGTAAGTCAGGCGACCTTCAGTTGTTGTGAGCTAGATACTGCTAGGTTTATGAAACGGTTGTGCTTCGGGCGTTATTTTCTTTAAATGAAAATAATGCAACAAAGTAGCCACTACAGTTTATTATAATCATGAATGATCATTTGTAGCCAGCTCACTATCCTGATGATGGCCAAAAACGCATACTGGGAGTGGGTTTGTTCTTGAGATTCAGCCCTGCGTCAGAAAAACGCATAATGTCTGCGCTGTTAACTGTTTTCGGGTTTTCTGTAGGTGATCATCACAGGTGTGGCACATTTTAAATGAGTCAATTTTCATTTCATTTTATTTATTTAAATGGTAATAAACTAACAAATGGGACACTCATGGAGTTGTACAAACATTAGCTTGGACTTTAGCTGAATTCATTGTTGTGCAATTTACATTTGACATTTTAGTTATTTAACAGAGTCTTACGCTCTTAGTTGCAAAATGCTAAAGGCCTAATATTCTACAAACTATACCAAATATCTTTTTGGAGTATCACCAATTATGGGAGAGTGCACTAGCCCAATCCTAGAAGTTGACTCCCTCTGAAATGTAGACTATAATCTCTCCATTCCTGTTGCGTCAGTCATACATTTCCCTTGTGAGCTGTGAATTTACAGGTGTAAGTCAGGTGTGCATTTATTGCATAGATGGTCCTTGAAATTTTCCAATAAACAAATGAACAATGATGAGCATACACATTAACTAAGTGGACCTCTTTCTGCACTTTTAAGTGGAGTGGACTAAGGTTAAGTGGAGTCTCTATTGACCTCTGCCCCCTCCCCCTGCCCCAAAATGCAATGACACTGTAGGTGTGATCGAGGTGTTAGACTGCCTCAATAACATGTTACACCTACAGCGTAATTCCGTGAATGTCGAACTTTTGCTGCACACATCCAGATCATGCTGCATACCATTTTGCGCAATGACGCTTTAAGTGTGATCGAGGCATAAGGTTTTGCTGCTGTTCTTTTTTGCCTGAGGTGAACTTTGATTTTGAACTCAGCAGCAAACATACATTGATGCCAAGGAGAGTTTCCTGGCTTTTCTCTTATCCTGTGCTGAGTAGTAGGTGGAGGAAACGTCCCATTATCAGTCCCACTTCCTCTTTTCTCCTTAGCTCAGCTTTTATTTACGTACACTCTAAAGTGTTCTTGAATTGTGACGAGGTGTCTTTCTGATGTGTGCTATTTCTATGCTTCTCGTTCTTAAGTTTCGTTTTTGCATCTTTTACTTTCGGTTTTGTACACAAACTGAAAATACAATATTTTTGGTTATTGGAAATATATTTCACTGCGGTTTAGATGGTACAATGATTCTCTACATTATACATGGCTTGTTTTGTCACAAACTGAAATTAGGCAAACTACTAGAATTTTAGCAACCAGGAAATTACGGAGTGTTTTCTGCATATTGCGCCTTTAAATTCATTTAAAACAATAGAAAATTGTAATAAGCTTAATCTTGACTGGAGTGAAACTGTGTGTTTAAAACACTAGTTATTGGTTTGTTATGTATTCATGTAGGCCTATTTAGGTTAATGTTTTATTTTACTGCCCATTATGATTCCTCCTTTTTACAGTATGGCTGCTCATATATTTCATTGGAAGCTGACACATGGTTTTTGTGTTACTTTCCAATAAAATAAAAATGTTGTCATCTGAGGACATGCAACAGTTAGTTTTTTCTACTTAGTTCCAGTAGGCCCGTATGCTAGTTTGTTTCCAACATTTCACATGTCCCATAATAGGCCTATACTGAAATTCATTGGTTTTTAAGTTGACATTTAGCATTGGTTTATCCTTTACCTAGGCCTATGTGCACCTAATAAAATTAGTCTTAACTGATACGATTTTTTGGACTTTTTATTACGTTTGTGCTTTTCTGCAGTCTCCAGAACCCTCATCTCCAGACCCAGCCAGCATGCCTGCAGAAGGCATCAGTACAAACTCCAATGGACCTAAGCAAGAAGACATTTCATTAGATGATGACCCAGAGGATCTGTTTGCAGGTATTCCATCACCTCTGATTAAACAATTATCCTCTTAACTCTATTATTAAAGGGATAGTTAACCCAAATTACAAAATGTCCTATTGGTTTCCTTACCCTTTATGCCGGGGATAGGCAACCCTGTTCCTGGAGTGCTGCAGGTACTGCGGGATTTTGTTCCAACTAGGCACCACACCTGACCAACTGAGCTAATTGATCAGTTCAGTGATTGCCTAAATTCAACACACCTGGTCTTCAAAAACATGAAGCGCCTGCGGCACTCCAGGACCAGGGTTGCCTACCCCTGCTGTAAGCAGTCTATGGAAGATAAGACACCAATCTTTGCTTTTTGGTTTTGTTTACCTGGTCACTGTCTTTTTTGCATTTATGGCGCAAAACCAATCCAAGTGGATATCACTTTTTGACTGCAGCCCTTTTGATTTGAACGAAACATTTTATACATATTTGCCCATGGTAGAAGTGGTCCGAAAGTAACTGAATGCCAAAACATTTAGGGAATAGAGGTGCTCAAATTTGACCTATTTTGCATACCCCACCTTACCATGAGACATCCATGTCTTCATCACTGTAAAAGATAAACGGTTGAGTTTCTTTTTAAAGCTCACAAACAGGGTTGTTAAACTATTTTACAATTTCTTGCAAACATTTTTTTTTTTTATAAATTCAAATGCAAAAAAGCTATGCACAAGGACTACTTTTAACAATTTACACAAGTTTACAAAAACATATTTACTTGAACAACAGTGCATCTGCACAGTTTGTTAACAGAATGACGGCGCCAACAGCACAAACTGTCATTCTGTTACCAAACTTTGCATGTGTACTGTTCTTCAAGTGTTTTTATCAAACTTTCTGTGTAAATTGTTAAAAGTAGTCTTTGTGCATAGTTGTATGGTTTTTACATTTTCATATCAATGGATTTTGGTTGGCATACATTTCTAAAGTAAAAAAATCTGAGTCTGAGCATAATTACGGTACCATGGAATTGCCCTTAATCTACCAACCAATCATCTCCCACAACACCTTCTCCCTAACCCTCCTCACGCCTCAGTCGTGTGATTTGCTAAAATTAAATGGTGACAAATACTTTACTCAGTAGGTCACTCCCATAGAATTCTATGGTCACTCCCACTAAGGCCAACTTTGAAACGTTGATATTCCAGGCTTATATGCGCTGTGCGCCATCCCTCGTACAGTATGTCTCTAATTGTCCCCCACAAGAGCTATCTAAGACACCACTGGCCTGATTTTGACTAAACTTGGGTGAATGATGCGTCTTGCCATAGAGATCCAGCATTTACAAAATTACACTGATTGGCCCAAGGGGGTGCTATAGTAATCAACTGAACTTTGAACAAGCATATCTCCTGTCCTGTTTGAGCTACAGTCAGGATATGTTGTATGTATATGCAGCCCCTTATGAGCATCGTGTCCTATAAGGACCTATAAGTTCCGCCCGTTAGAATTTCAGCAAATTAGACTGTCTCCCACCAAACTTTGAACAAGCATTTCTCCTGCCCCGTTTGAGCTACAGTCATGTAATTTCGTACATACACTATATATACAAAAGTATGCGGACACCCCTTCAAATTAGTGGATTCGGCTATTTCAGCCACACCCGTTGCTGACAGGTGGCAGCAACGGGTGTGGCTGAAACACTTCAACGTGGCACAGTCACAGGATGCCACCTTTCCAACAAGTCAGCTAGCGCTGCCCCGGTCAACTGTAAGTGCTGTTATTGTGAAGTGGAAACGTCTAGGAGCAACAACGGCACAGCCACAAAGTGGTAGACCACACAAGCTCACAGAATGGGACCGCTGAAGCGTGTAGCGCGTAAAAATCGTCTGTCCTCGGTTGCAACACTCACTACCAAGTTCCAAACTGCCTCTGGAAGCAAGTCAGCACAATAACTGTTCGTCGGGAGCTTCATGAAATTGCTTTCCATGGCCGAGCAGCCACACACAAGCCTAAGATCACCATGCACAATGCCAAGCGTCGGCTGGAGTGGTGTAAAGCTCGCCGCCATTGGACTCTGGAGCAGTGGAAACGCGTTCCCTGGAGTGATGAATCACACGTCACTATCTGGCAGTCCGACAGACGAATTCGGGTTTGGCGGATGCCAGGAAAACGCTACCTGCCCCAATGCATAGTGCCAACTGTAAAGTTTGGTGGAGGAGGTATAATGGTCTGGGTCTGTTTTCCGTGGTTCGGGCTAGCCCCCCCCCCATAGTTCCAGTGAAGGGAAATCTTAACGCTACAGCATACAATGACATTCTAGATGATTCTGTGCTTCCAACTTTGTGGCAACAGTCTGGCTGCACAACTGATTGGCAAACGTACTGCAAATTGAGAAATCATGTGACTAAACTGAATAAAAAGAAGAAGAAACTATACTATGAAACAAATAAATTATATAAAGAATGATAGTAAAAAGCTCTGGAGTACCATCCATTGAATCAGATGGCTTGTTCATCACAAAACCCGCTGATATTGGCAATTACTTTAATGATTTTTTCATTGGCAAGATTAGCATATTTAGGCATGACATGCCAGCAACAAACGCTGACACTACACATCCATGTATAACTGATAAAATGATGAAAGACAAGCATTGTAATTTTGAATTCTGTAAAGTGAGTGTGGAAGAGGTGAAAAATGGTCTATCAACAATGACATGCCACAGGGGTCTGACAACTTGGATGGAAAGTTACTGAGGTGAATAGCGGACGATGTTGCCACTGCTTTTTGCCATAACTTCAATTTAAGCCTTCTAGAAAGTGTGTTCCCTCAGGCCTAGAGGGAAGCAAAAGTCATTCCGCTACCTAAGAATAGTTAAGCCCCCTTTACTGGCTCAAATTGCCGACCAATCAGCCTGTTACCAACCCTAAGTAAACTTTTGGGATTTTTTGTTGTTGACCAGATACAATGGTATGTTACCGTAAACAATTGACAACAGACTTTCAGCACTCTTATAGGGAAGGACATTCAGCAAGCACCGCACTTACACAAATGACTGATTGGCTGAGAGAAATTGATGATAAAAACAATGTGGGGGCTGTTTTGTTAGACTTCAGTGCAGCTTTTTACATTATTAATCATAGTCTGCTGCTGGAAAAACGTATGTGAATGCGGATGACTCTACACTATACACGTCAGCTACTACAGCGACTGAAATGACTGCAACACTTAACAAAGAGCTGCAGTTAGTTTCAGAATGGGTGGCAAGGAATAAGTTAGTCCTAAATATTTCAAAAACTAAAAGCATTGTATTTGGGATAAATCATTCACTAAACTCTAAACCTCAACTCAATCTTGTAATAAATAATGTGGAAATTGAGCAAGTTGAGGTGACTAAACTGCTTGAAGTAACCCTGGATTGTAAACTGTCATGGTCAAAGCATGTTGATACAACAATAGCTAACATGGGGAGAAGTCTGTCCATAATAAAGCATCCTACAGGCCCTAGTTTTGTCACTCCTGGACTACTGTTCAGTCGTGTGGTCAGGTGCCACAAAGAGGGACTTAGGAAAATTAAAATTGGCTCAGAACAGGGCAGCACGGCTGGCCCTTAAATGTACACAGAGAGCTAACATTAATGATATGCTTGTCAATCTCTCATGGCTCAAAATGGAGGAGAGATTTACTTCATCACTACATGTTTTTGTAAGAAGTGTTGACAAGCTGAATGCACCGAGCTGTCTGTTTGCACGGACACCCATGCATACCCCACAAGACATGCCACCAGAGGCGCACAGTACTACATAGAGCCATGACTACATGGAACTCTATTCCACATCCGGTAACTGATGCAAGCAGTAGAATCAGATTTTAAAAACAAAAAAATACACCTTATGGAACAATGAGGACTGTGAAGAGACACACACAGGTACAGACACACATACGCACATGGGTGCTAGCACATGCGCTCTACACACACGTACAGTGGGGGAAAAAAGTATTTAGTCAGCCACCAATTGTACAAGTTCTCCCACTTAAAAAGATGAGAGAGGCCTGTAATTTTCATCATAGGTACACTTTACCTATGACAGACCAATCCAAATCACATTGTAGGATTTTTAATGAATTTATTTGCAAATTATGGTGGAAAATAAGTATTCCTGAGTGGCGCAGTGGTCTAAGGCACTGCATCGCAGTGCTAACTGTGTCACTAGAGATCCTGGTTCGAATCCAGGCTCTGTCGCAGCCGGCCGCGACCGGGAGACTCATGGGCGGCGCACAATTGGCCCAGCGTCGTCCAGGGTAGGGGAGGGAATGGCCGGCCGGGATGTAGCTCAGTTGATAGAGCATGGCGTTTGCAACGCCAGGGTTGTGGGTTCGATTCCCACGGGGGGCCAGTATAAAAAAAATATGTATTCACTAACTGTAAGTCGCTCTGGATAAGAGCGTCTGCTAAATGACTAAAATGTAAAATGTAAATGTATTTGGTCACCTACAAACAAGCTAGATTTCTGGCTCTCACAGACCTGTAACTTCTTCTGTAAGAGGCTCCTCTGTCCTCCACTTGTTACCTGTATTAATGGCACCTGTTTGAACTTGTTATCAGTATAAAAGACACCTGTCTACAACCTCAAACAGTCACACTCCAAATTCCACTATGGCCAAGACCAAAGAGCTGTCAAAGGACACCAGAAACAAAATTGTAGACCTGCACCAGGCTGGGAAGACTGAATCTGCAATAGGTAAGCAGCTTGGTTTGAAGAAATCATCTGTGGGAGCAATTATTAGGAAATGGAAGACATACAAGACCACTGATAATCTACCTCTATCTGGGGCTCCACGCAAGATCTCACCCCGTGGGGTCAAAATGATCACAAGAACGGTGAGCAAAAATCCCAGAACCACACGGGGTGACCTAATGAATGACCTGCAGAGAGCTGGGACCAAAGTAACAAAGCCTACCATCAGTAACACACTACGCCGCCAGGGACTCAAATCCTGCAGTGCCAGACGTGTCCCACTGCTTAAGCCAGTACATGTCCAGGCCCGTCTGAAGTTTGCTAGAGTGCATTTGGATGATCCAGAAGAGGATTGGGAGAATGTCATATGGTCAGATGAAACCAAAATAGAACTTTTTGGTAAAAACTCAACTCGTCGTGTTTGGAGGACAAAGAATGCTGAGTTGCATCCAAAGAACACCATACCTACTGTGAAGCATGGGGGTGGAAACATCATGCTTTGGGGCTGTTTTTCTGCAAAGGGACCAGGACGACTGATCCGTGTAAAGGAAAGAATGAATGTGGCCATGTATCGTGAGATTTTGAGTGAAAACCTCCTTCCATCAGCAAGGGCATTGAAGATGAAACGTGGCTGGGTCTTTCAGCATGACAATGATCCCAAACACACTGCCCGGGCAACGAAGCATTTCAAGGTCCTGGAGTGGCCTAGCCAGTCTCCAGATCTCAACCCCATAGAAAATCTTTGGAGGGAGTTGAAAGTCTGTGTTGCCCAGCGACAGCCCCAAAACATCACTGCTCTAGAGGAGATCTGCATGGAGGAATGGGCCAAAATACCAGCAACAGTGTGTGAAAACCTTGTGAAGACTTACAGAAAACGTTTGACCTGTGTCATTGCCAACAAAGGGTATATAACAAAGTATTGAGAAACTTTTGTTATTGACCAAATACTTATTTTCCACCATAATTTGCAAATAAATTCATAAAAAATCCTACAATGTGATTTTCTGGAATTTTCTTCTCATTTTGTCTGTCATAGTTGACGTGTACCTATGATGAAAATTACAGGCCTCATCTTTTTAAGTGGGAGAACTTGCACAATTGGTGGCTGACTAAATACTTTTTTTCCCCACTGTACATTGTAATATTGTTGTATGGTGGTATCATACATTTTGTGTTGTAGATATGTAGTGGTGTAACAATGTTATATAATTTACTGTTTTATCTTTTGTTTTATATATAATGTCAGTGCCTTAATGTGTTTGGACCCCAGGAAGAGTAGCTGCTGCCTTGGCAGCAGTTAATGGGGAACCCTAATAAATACAAATAAATGCAGTTTGGGGAAGGCCCTTTCCTGTTTCAGCATGACAATGCCCCCGTGCACAAAGCGAGGTCCATACAAAATTGGTTGTCGAGATCGGTGTGGAAGAACTTGACTGGCCTGGACAGAGCCCTGACCTCAACCCCATCGAACACCTTTGGGATGAATTGCAAAGCCGACTGCGAGCCAGGCCTAATCACCCAACATCAGTGCCCATCCTCACTAATGCTCTTGTGGCTGAAGCAAGTCCCCGCAGCAATGTTCCAACATCTAGTGTAAAGCCTTCCCAGAAGAGTGAAGCATGTTATAGCAGCAAAGGGGGGACCACCTCCATATTAATGCCCATGATTTTGGAATGAGATATTCGACGAGCAGGTGTCCACATACCTTTGGTCATGTAGTCTATGCAGCCCCTCATGAGCAACACGTTTCCCATAAGGACCTACAATCTCTGCCCATTAGATTTTCCGCACATTCTATTTTTTTGTCCCCCACGATGGGGGAGGGGCTAGATTTATTTGATAAAATGCTGTTTCTCTTCCTTCTGATATGATTTGATGACACTACATAACCGCCTGGTCTTTTGTCATGAAACTTTGCACAATGATGGAAAGTCACTCCCAAGGTTACTACGATTGACCACATGGTGGCTTAAGTTTGACTATGGCCTGCTTGGCCCCCGGAATTGCAGATTTAATAGTTTTTTTCTCTCTCTCATTCTATTTGAATAATTGTCACTAATTGGCCCAAGGGGGGGAGCTGCATCATTCGTATGGGACGACATGTTTACTTTTGCCTTGTTTAACAATTAAGTTGGGTACGGTGGAAGTTTGCACAAGAGGGCTTTATAAACAGAAAGAGAGCAGTGCATTGATCTATACGACTTAAGAGAGGGCCAGCCTACTCTCTGATACAGAATGCATTGATGTGTACTGAACCTATCGCCAGTAATAAAGTGTAGTGTGCTATGATAAACTGTCCAATGGCTTCAATACAGTGGCAGCTGCATTCATATAGACGATATCGCCATAGTCAAATGCCAGAATGAATTTCGACTGAATGATTTGTTTTCTGCTGTTTAATGAAAGGCATGACCTATTCCTATAAAATAAGCCCATTTTAATTCTTAATTTCTTAACTAACTCATCAACATGCTTTTTGAAAGATAAACATCAATCCATATGCCCAGATAGATAAGCGGGATATGATCAATGAGGGCACCATCCAATGTTTATGCATAAATAATCAGATAACATATACTTGGTTTTACCTGCATTTAGTACCAATTTCAGTTCAGGAAAGGCTTTCTGCATGGCAATAAAGGCTGATAGAACATCTGAAAGAGCCTTGTCAAATGGGTGGGGGCAATAGCATACACAACAGTGTCATTTGTTTATATGTGTATGTAAAACATTTCTGCAGAGAGACCAATATTGTTTATATAAACAGTAAAAAGTACAGGACCTAAAATCGACCCCTGTGGGACACCTTTCATAATATCAAATGACACCCACCCTGTATTCAAGAGTATGCTGTGTCTCAACTGATGGCGGGCACAACACCTCAGATTATGTAAAATAGGGTCGACGCTACAACATATGCGAAAAATCTTATTTTTTTTGGTTTATGCGTTTTTAGATAATTGACGTTAAATGATATTTTTATATAAAAACACTTTTTTTTAAAGGAATGATCAAATTGTTTGATAACTCAACCTCAACCGTTTATCATTTCCAGTGATGAAGACATGGATGGTCATGGTAGGTTATGCAAAATGGGTAAACCTTGAGCTCCTCTATCTCCTAAATGTTTTGGCATTCAGGTCCAAAAATTCACTTTCTACCATGGGCAAATAGGTATGGTAAGTTTTGTTCAAATAAAAGGTGTGCGGTCAAAAAGTGATTGATTATCAAATGGAATATCCACAATTTTCACATTTCATGTCCAAGTCATCCCAAAGTGTCTAAAATTCATTGTGTAGCTCAATAAAGTTATTGTAAGATGATTTGGACATGAAACGAGAAATGCTAATAATAAATGTATAATTTGGGTGAACTATCCCTTTAAAAAGAAACCATTAACTCTGAAGATTGTGTATTACGCTCTTCGAAGGTAAAACAGTAGCAGTACATGAATACCATAATTCCCCAAGTGTTTCCCTTTCCATTTGGAGTCATCACTTGTATTGTGTTTCTCAGTGGAGTGTTTTGTTGTTTGTATTGTTCTCGATTCTTTGTATTTCAGAAGCAACAGAGGAGGTTTCTCTGGACAGCCCAGAGAGGGAGCCCATCCTGTCGGACGGTCCATCTCCGGCCATCACCCCAATCACCCCCACAGCTATGCTCACCCCCAGGATGGGCCTGGGCACCGCTGAGATGTTTGAGAGATCCTTGGATGAGGTAAGTAGTAGGGTTAAGTTGGCCCTAGACACTGATCTTGGGCCAGTTTTGGATTTTCCAAAATAATGGTTAAGATTAGTATTGAGGGAGGAGATCCTGATCCTAGATCTATACCTAGGGGAAACTTCACCGTGGAGCGTTCTCATAACACAAAGGTCAAGGTGGACTTTTAATACCACCAATGTTAGCCTCCAAAACATTGGTAGCATAAAAGGTTCACTGCAGGGAGAGGTTGAGAGTGCGACTTTCATTTTATTTTTCTGACTTTGTTTCCTTGTAGATTGAAGAGGACGATAGTGGTGACATCTTTGACATGCATATAGCAGTGTCTGATCCAGAGAAAGTTGGTAAGTTAATACCGTGTTAATGTATTCATATATTAAAGGGATACTTTTGGATTTTGGCAATGAGGACTTTTATATACTTCCCAAGAGTCAGTTGAACTCATGGATACCATTTTTATGTCTCTGTGTCCAGTATGAAGGAAGTAAGAGGTGGTTTTGTGAGCCAATGCTAACTAGCGTTAGCGCAATGACTGGAAGAAAAATTATAATCTGTTATTAATGAAAAATTAAACACTAACTTCAGTAGATAATTACTCACCCCCCTGAGTCAATACATGTTAGAAACACTTTTGGCAGCGACTACAGCTGTTAATCTTTTTTGGTACGTTTCTGAGAGCTTTGCACACCTGGATTGTGCAATATTTGCCCATTTTATTATTTTCTAAGCTCTGTGAAGTTGGTTGATGATCATTCCTAAACATTCATTTTCAAGTCTTGCCAAATATTTCCAAGCACATTTAAGTCAAAACTGTAACTAGCGCCACTCAGAAACATTCACTGTCTTCTTGGTAAGCATCTGCAGTATAGATTTTAGATTATTGTCCTGCTGAAAGGTGAATTTTGTCTCCCAAAAAGTGCATTCCTTTGCCACATTCTTTGTAGTATTTCTTTAGTGTCTTGTTGCGAACAGAGTGCTTGTTTTGGAATATTTTTATTCTGTACAGGCTTCCTTCTTTTCACTCTGTCATTTAGGTTAGTATTGTGAAGTAACTACGATGTTGTTGATCCATCCTCAGTTTTCTCTCATCACAGCCATTAAACTCTGTAACTGTTTTAAAATCACCATTGGCCTCCCTGAGCTGTTTCCTTCCTCAGCAGCAACTCTGTTAGGCAGGACACCTGTATCTTTGTAGTGACTGGGTGTATTGATACACCATATAAAGCCTAATTAATAAATGTACCATGCTCAAAGGGATATTCCTTGTCTGCTTTTTCAATGTTTACCCTTCTGCCAATTGGTGCCCTTCTTTGTGGGGCATTGGAAAAGCTCACTGGTCTTTGTGGTTGACTCTGTTCTTGAAATACACTACTCAATTGAGGTATCTTACAGATAATTGTATGTGTGGGGTACAGAGAGGCGGTAGTCATAAATAAATCATGTTAACCCCTATTATTGCACACCGAGTGAGTCCATGCAACTTATTATGTGACTTGTTAAGAAAATTCTGACTCCTGTACTTATTTAGGCTTGCCATAACAAAGGGGGTGAATACTTATAAACTCAGCAAAAAAAGAAACGTCCCTTTTTCAGGACCCTGTCTTTCAAAGATAATTTGTAAAAATCCAAATAACTTCACAAATCTTAATTGTAAAGGATTTGAACACTGTTTCCCATGCTTGTACAATGAACCATAAACTATTAATGAACATGCACCTGTGGAACGGTCGTTAAGACACTAACAGCTGACAGACAGTAGGCAATTAAGGTCACAGTTATGAAAACTTAGGACACTAAAGAGGCCTTTCTACTGACTCTGAAAAACACCAAAAAAATATGCCCAGGGTCCCTTCCCATCTGCGTGAACGTGCCTTAGGCATGCTGCAAGGAGGCATGGGGACTGCAGATGTGGCCAGGGCAATAAACTGCAATGTCCGTACTGTGAGAAGCCTAAGACAGTGCTACAGGGAGACAGGACGGACAGCTGATCGTCCTCGCAGTGGCAGACCGATGTAACAACACCTGCACAGGATCGGTACATCCGAACATTACACCTGCGGGACAGGTACAGGATGGCAACAACAACTGCCAGAGTTACACCAGGAACGCACAATCCCTCCATCAGTGCTGACTGTCCACAATAGGCTGAGAGAGGCTGGACTGAGGGCTTGTAGGCCTGTTGTAAGGCAGGTCCTCACCAGACATCACCGGCAACAACATCGCCTATGGGCACAAACCCACCGTCGCTGGACCAGACAGGACTGGCAAATAGTGCTCTTCACTGATGAGTCGCGGTTTTGTCTCAACAGGGGTGATGGTCAGATTCACGTTTATCGTCGAAGGAGTGAGCGTTACGCCGAGGCCTGTACTCTGGAGCGGGATCAATTTGGAGGTGGAGGGTCCGTCATGGTCTGGGGCGGTTTGTCACAGCATCATCGGACTGAGCTTGTTGTCATTGCAGGCAATCTCAACGCTGTGCGTTACAGGGAAGACATCCTCCTCCCTCATGTGATACCCTTCCTGCAGGCTCATCCTGACATGACCCTCCAGCATGACAATGCCACCAGCCATACTGCTCATTCTGTGCGTGATTTCTTGCAAGACAGGAATGTCAGTGTTCTGCCATGGCCAGCAAAATGCACCGATCTCAATCCCATTGAGCACGTCTGGGACCTGTTGGATCGGAGGGTGAGGGCTAGGGCCATTCCTCCCAGAAATGTCTGGGAACTTGCAGGTGCCTTGGTGGAAGAGTGGGGTAACATCTCACAGAAAGAACTGGCAAATATGTTGCAGTCCATGAAGAGGAGATGCACTGCAGTACTTAATGCAGCTGGTGGCCACACCAGATACTGACTGTTACTTTTGATTTGACCCCCCTTTGTTCAGGGACACATTATTCAATTTCTGTTAGTCACATGTCTGTGGAACTTGTTCAGTTTATGTCTGTTGTTGAATCTTGTTAAGTTCATACAAATATTTACACATGTTAAGTTTGCTGAAAATAAACGCAGTTGACAGTGAGAGGACGTTTCTTTTTTTTGCTGAGTTTATAACCAAGATATTTTAGTTATACATTTTTTATTAATTTGTAAAAATTTATATAATTATAATATATAAATGTGTGTGTGTATGTATGTGTATATATATATATATATGACATTAATGCAGCATTTTGTGTAGGTCAGTGATACAATAAATCACAATTAAATCCATTTCAATCCCACTTTGTAACGCAACAAAATTAGAAAAAATCCAAGGGGGGGTGAATATTTATGATATGCACTGTATAATCCTCTCAAATAGAAAATGAGCGACAATGCTGTTGTATAGAGGAGGGAATAGTTAAAACAATGTTGTGACTTTGGTTTACACTAATATTTATGTTTCTTCTTTAAGGGGATGGAATGAACGCTTACATGGGATACAAAGTAACAACAAAGGTAAGGAAAATATACAGAAGCTAGCCCTATTTGGTAAAATACCAAGTCCATATTATGGCAAGAACAGCTCAAATAAGCAAAGAGAAATGACAGTCCATCATTACTTTAAGACATGAAGGACAGTCAAAAAATGTCAAGAACTTTGAAAGTTTCTTCAAGTGCAGTCGCAAAAACCATCAAGCGCTATGATGAAACTGGCTCTCAGGAGGACTGGTTGAGAGAATGCAAAGAGTGCAAAGCTGTCATCAAGGCAAAGGGTGGATATTTGAAGAATCTCAAATATAAAATATATTTTGATTTGTTTAACACTTTTTGGGTTACTACATGATTCCATATGTGTTATTTCATAGTTTTGATGTCTTCACTATTATTCTACAATGTAGAAAATAGTAAAAAATAAAGGAAAACCCTTGAATGAGTAGATGAGTCCAAACTTTTGACTGGTACTGTACATGACGGAGGCTCAACCAATCTAGTCGTCTTGACCACGTTCTTATGTCATTCTCGCTGGCACCAGAAGTTTAAAAAGTGTTGATAGGAGACAGAATGCGGTCGGACCATCAAATAATTGGCATATACATTACTCTTACAGAATTTCCACGTGGGCGAGACTATTAGAAATGTAATCAAAACCTATTGAATGACGACTTGTTTTTAACCAGCACAGAATAATTTATAACTGACTTTTTCCGACCTAATATAGGTACAGCAGATCCCCTTATTGTATATTCTTTCTATTAAAAATGTAAAATTAACAGCTGTACAGAAAGACTCACGTGAAGGTGAAATTACAGAGGAGGAACTTCTTGATGCAATTAAAGCCTTTAAGTCCGGGAAACCTCCAGGGATGGATGGCATACCAGTTGAGGTATACCAAACCTTTTTTGATGTACTCAGAGGACAGTTATTAGCATGTTTTAACCACTCCTATAAAAAGAAAAAAAAGAAGGTCTGATTTCATTATTACTGAAACAGGACCCAAGTGGTAAATATAAAGATCCAGTCCATTTAATAAATTGGAGGCCCCTTACACTTCAGTGTTGTGATGCAAAAATTCTAGCAAAATGCATAGGGCATTGAATTAAAAAGGTATTGTCTGATATTATTCATTCAAATCAGACAGGTTTTTTACATGGACTATACATTGGAAATAATATAAGACAAGTACTGGAAACAATAGAAAACTATGAAAAATCTGGGAAACCAGGCCTGGTATTTTGAAAAGGCTTTTGATCAAGTACAACTGGAATGTATATGTAAATGCCTGGAACGTTTACATTTTGGAGGATCTCTAGTACGATGGGTTAAAGTTCTGTATAGTAACCCTAGGTGTAAAATAGTAAATAATGGCTACTTCTCAGAAAGTATTAAACTGTCAAAAGGAGTAAAACAAGGTTGTCCACTATCGGCATATCTATTTATTATGGCCATCGAAATGTTAACTATTAAAATCATATCATAACAATAATATCAAGGGGCTAGAAATCCAAGGCTTAAAAACAAAGGTGTCATTGTATGCTGTTTTATTTTAAATCCACAATTTGGATCCCTCCACAGCCTCATAGAGGTCCTAGATACTTTTTCTAACCTCTGGATTACAACCAAATTATGATAAGTGTACTATATTAAGTATTGGATCAAAAAAATGAAGACTTTTACATTACTGTGTAGCTTTACCAATAAAATGGTCTGACAGTGAAGTGGACATACTCAGTATTCATATCCCGAAAGAAAGAAATGATCTCACTACGATACATTTGAATAGAAAGTTAGCAAAAATAGATAAGATCTTGCTACCATGGAAAGGAAATTACCTGTCAATTTCTGGAAAAATCACCCTGATTTAACACTTTAGTCATATCCAAGTTGACCTATTTGCTTATGGCCTTGCCTACACCTAGCGACTTGTTTTTTAAATTATTCGGCAAACCAGACAAAATTAAACGGGCCTATTTATATAATTAATATGAATTCGAAGGGCAGAAATGAATAAATATAAAAGCATTAGACCTCTCACTAAAGCCTTCGGTCATACAAAAGTTATACTTCAATTCGAACTGATTCTCTAGCAGATTAGTAAGAATATTTCACCCCATGTTCAAGAATGTCCTTTTTGCCTTTATTCAGATTCCAACCTCTTACTTTCTGTTTTATTAAAACAAAATCATCTCCAAAATATCGCAATTTTTAAAACATGCCATAGAAAATGGTTGCAATTTCAGTTTAATCCACCAGAAAATACAGAACTAATATTACAACAAATATTATGGTTAAAGTAATATATTAATTGATTTAAATTATTATACACAATTCTTGCAACCAATAGAATGTTATATACAGTGCATTTGGGAAGTATTCCGACCCCTTGACTTTTTCCACATTTTGTTACGTTACAGCCTTATTCTAAAATTGATTAAATCGTTTTTTTCCCCCTCATCAATCTACACACAATACACCATAATGACAAAGCAAAAAGTGTTTTTTTAGAAGTATTTGCAAATGTATTAAAAATAAAAAATGGAAATATCACATTTACATAAGTATTCAAACCCTTTACTCAGTACATTGTTGAAGCACCTTTGGCATAGATTACAGCCTCGAGTCTTGTTGGGTATGATGCTACAAGCTTGGCACACTTGTATTTGTGGAGTTTCTCCAATTCTTCTCTGCAGATCCTCTCAAGCTCTGTCAGGTTGGATGGGAAGTGTCGCTGCACAGCTATTTCAGGTCTCCAGAGATGTTCGATAGGGTTCAAGTCTGGATTCTGGCTGGGCCACTCAAGGACATTCAGAGACGTGTCCCGAAGCCACTCCTGCATTGTCTTGGCTGTCTGCTTAAGGTCGTTGTCCTGTTGGAAGGTAAACCTTCGCCCCAGTCTGAGCTCCTGAGTGCTCTGGAGCAGGTTTTCATCAAAGATCTCTCTGTACTTTGCTCCGTTCATCTTTCCCTCGATCCTACCTAGTCTCCCAGTCCCTGCCACTGAAAAACATCCCCACAGCATGATGCTGCCACCACCGTGCTTCACTGTAGGGTTGGTGCCAGGTTTCCTCCAGACGTGACGCTTGACATTCAGGCCAAAGAGTTCAATCTTGGTTTCATCAGACCAGAGAATCTTGTTTCTCATGGTCTGAGAGTCCTTTAGTTGCCTTTTAGCAAACTCCAAGCGGGCTGTCATGTGCCTTTTACTGAGGAGTGGCTTCCGTCTGGCCACTCTACCATAAAGACCTGATTGGTGGTGTGCTGCAAAGATGGTTGTCCTTCTGGAAGGTTCTCCCATCTCCACAGAGGAACTCTAGAGCTCTGTCAGAGTGACCATTGTGTTCTTGGTCACCTCCCTGACAAAGGCCCTTCTCCCCTGATTGCTCAGTTTGGCCGGGTGGCCAGCTGTAAGAAGAATCTTGGTGGTTCCAAACTTCTTCCATTTAAGAATGATGGAGGCCACTGTGTTGTTTTTGGTACCCTTCCCCAGATCTGTGCCTCGACACAATCCTGTCTCGGAGCTCTACGGACAATTCCTTCGACCTCATGGCTTGGTTTTTGCTCAGACATGCACTGTCAACTGTGGTACCTTATATAGACAGATGTGTGCCTTTCCAAATCATGTCCAAACAATTGAATTTACCACAGGTGGACTCCAGTCAAGTTGTGGAAACATTTCAAGGATGATCAATGGAAACAGGATGCACCTCAGCTCAATTTCGAATATCATAGCAAAGGGTCTGAATGAGGTATTTCTGTTTTAAAAAATAAATAAATTAGCAAACATTTCTGAAAGCCCTTTTTTGCTTTGTCATTATAGAGTATTGTGTGTAGATTGATGCTGAAAAAAAATAATTAGAATAAGGCTGTAAGATAACAAAATGTGGAAAAAGTGAAGGGGTCTGAATACTTTCAGAATGCACTGGATATAATAAGTTGTATTATTTGTGTTAACAATAAAAATGACATTTTCCACTCTTGCATTTTCTTCTTCCTCCTTCCTTCTTCTAGACCTCTATGACAATTTTCAGCAAGAATGAAACAACTGTAAGGAGGAGGTTTAGTGACTTTCTGGGCTTGCACAGCAAACTAGCCTCCAAGTACCTGCATATAGGATACATAGTCCCTCCCGCTCCAGAGAAAAGCATTGTGGGTGAGTGAAATCTGCTTGGATGTGTATTGAGTTGAATTGAAGACGGTATTATTGTTGTTGCGTCAGAGCTAATTTAGTCATGTCTTGTGGTACCAAAACAGCAGAGCTGATATTTCCTACAGTAGGGTGTAAAGAGGGCAGTCATTTTGCCTGGGCAACTTTATTCATCTACAGGAATGACTGTGTGTAAACATTTGTGTATGTGTTCATCTACAGGAATGACTAAGGTCAAAGTGGGGAAGGAGGATTTGTCTTCTGCAGAATTTGTCGAGAAGAGAAGATCAGCCTTAGAAAGGTATCTATGAAAATACCAAAAACCCTTCTCAAAATCAGTAGATTTTCAGTACTTCAGACCGACTGCAAACATGTATTATTCTGCTGTTTCATTTGTTTTGCCAATTGTTACGACATGCATCCATGCCTGTCCTCCAACAGAGAATGATCCTCGCCACGCAGCTCGTTTAATGCCCTACTTGTCAGACGAGACAGCTCTCATGTCTTACACAAAACTTTTTCGTGAAAAGCCCCTTCAGTCTAAAGAGCATTCTTGTTCTGGTCTTTTGTGGCCTGAAAGGTTAACCTAGAAATATTAGGTAAATAATTATCACAGAGCTCCAGGGCTTCGGGGCTGTCAACACACGAACGGGGTGGGGAGGGGTGAATGCTGAGGGAGAAGATGGTGCTTTCCTCCAGAGCTTCATACCGTATCGTATTCTCTGGACAGAGCTGTCCGACGCGTTCGGTGTTCAGCCCGAGGATGACTACTGCTGCCCCATCCCTGGTTTTAGCCAATTCTGATGAATCGAATAAAAATGTACGTTAAGTGAGGCCCTGACATTTCTCTGCCCTTTTCATCATCTGCCCATTGACTGACATGAAGGTCAGCGTTTACAAGTGGGCAGGGTGTCAGCTTTATACACCTCACTGTTAAAGAACTGAATCCTGATGGCCAAAATAATTCATTTTAAAATAAGTTATTTTAATATATATGCATTAAAATAACTTACTTTAAATTAATTGTTTGGAAAAACAAATTGCAATACATATAGAACTTTGAGAATCACAGTACATATCGTATTGGCACCTAAGTACATTTACATTTATGTAATTTAGCAGACACTCTTATCCAGAGCGATTTACAGTAGTGAGTGCATACATTTTTGTACTTTTTCATACTGGTCCCCCGTGGGAATCGAACCCACAACCCTGGTATTGCAAGCACCATGCTCTACCAACTGAGCCACACAGAACGAATTATCGTGATCTATTATTGTGAGGTCCCTGCCAATTCCTAGCCATATTTTTTCATAAATTGTTACCTCTGCACTGAACATGGTAATGATTTATTCACACAATGTAACCTTTTATTTTGTGCTCAATAGGTATCTGATGAGAACAGTGAAACATCCCATCCTGCTGAAGGATCCGGATGTCATGATGTTCCTGGAGAGTTCAGAGGTAGCGTTTCATCTCAATCTGTGTACGACACAAAATTGAACAACACCCAATTTGAGAATTAATGAAAAAAGCGCATTACTTTTTTGTTGTTCTTGTGTGGTAATATTTTTCCCCCATTTCAGTATCCTTTAATAAAGCCAACTTCTGAAAATAGTTTGGGATAAGCTCAAGAACATACGTGACCTTTTGTTTTGAAAATGGCCAGTGTAACAGAAAACCGACCTATATGTTCCCATGAAATAACTGTATTAATCCAGTCGTAATGAAATGCCACTGTAGAAAAGAAGGATAAATGGCTGAAAGCAATTGAAAGCTATTTTTGCCCATTGTTCCTCTGAGAGTTTTCCCAGTAAATGGATTAAATTAGATTCTAACAACATTGAAATGTATGGGAGTGGAGAAAACCCCACACAGCTCCTGGCGCGGGGCTCCCTCTGGGATTAGGTCGGAGCCCTAGCCTGTTAACCGGTTTGTTTGCACTTATTTGTCATTTTATCCCAGCTGCCGAGAGCGGTTAGCACCCAGGCGCTGAGTGGGGCCGGAATATTAAGGATGGTAAACAAAGCTGCCGACGCTGTCAACAAAATGACAATCAAGATGAATGAATCGGATGCGGTAAGGGCTGATTTTTGGACTTGAATAATGAGACGAATTAATGAGGCTCTCCACTTGAATTCTAAGATTGGGCGAGTGAAAAGAAGAAGGCAGGTGCTGCTTGGGGGGGGTGGCCCTTTCCTTCCTTACTGGGAAAAGCTATATCGTTTTTATTTTCCACTCCATTGCAATTTATTAACTTTGTTTATTTTTATATACTTGTCGTTCAAATGTAACCTGCAAAAGCATTTTCGGCAATGGAAAGCTTGAGTATATGGGGCCTGTCTTACACCGTCAATGTGTTGAACGTAAACCTAGCATCTCGCACACGGTCACTCAGGATGTAAGAAGAATTTCCATTTGAATGTGTTAATTAATTAATTAATCAATAATTGCAAATGTTTTGAAAACTACATAGTTGCTAGTTACTATCATTACTTATTCATACTATTATTATTTAATTTTGTGGAGAAACTGTATTATGTTTCAGCTTGACTTTATTGCTCTGATGTGTTGTGAATGTCAACAGTGGTTTGAGGAGAAGCACCAGCAGTTTGAGAACCTTGACTTGCAACTCAGAAAACTGCATGCTAGTGTGGAGTCTCTGGTCTGCCACCGGAAAGGTAAACCTACCCTGAGTCATGACCTTGAGCCTCAGTTTACAGTGACATACTCTAGACTCATAAGGCAACATTCGGCTCTTTTAAATGCACAAGCAGTGCGTAAAGGATCTTCAACTAATATCAGCAACTCTGCAATTACTCAAACTTGATTGCACCGCATGTAGCGCATTTTCACAAACTGAAAGTAAAACGCTTCCCATAATGTATATTAATATACTATATCATGTGCTGTCCATTACTGGGCAATGTCTGGTGTTACAATTATCAAAAAATTGCGATGTATAATACAATTCTCAATTGAACAATGTTGTTATTTTGTTAAAGGCCCAGTGCAGTCAAAAACGTGATTTTCCTGTGTTTTTATATACTGTATAATTCCACACTATGAGGTTGGAATGATACTGTAAAATTGAAAATTATGATAATGCCCTTTTAGTGTAAGAACTGTTTGAAAAGACCGCCTTAAATTTCTGTTTTGGTGGGATGGAGTTTTGGCCTGCCTGGTGGAGTTACCAGGCGGTAAATTAGGTAATAGACCAATAAGAAAGCGAGTTCCAAACCTCTCTGCCAATAACAGCTAGTTTTCCGTTTTCTCCTCCCCACTCCGACCACTCCCAGACAATCTTACCGAAATTCTTGCTTGAGAAATTGCTCTTTGCTAAGAAGCAGTTTTTGTTTATTTTTGACCATTTTAATTGAAAACAATCACAGTAAGGTACTTAATTGTTAGCCAGAAATTATTTGATATTGAGATAAAAATGACTGCATTGGACCTTTTAATCATCTTGTAAATGTTTGGTGAACCATTTAAATTGGACCACTTTGTACTAGCTTAAATTAGGGTTCAATGCTTCACCTATGAACCTGCTCTCTTTCTAAACAATGTCATGATCCCTTTCTCTTCCTTTCTCTTTCCTTCTCTCCTCCTCTTCAGAGCTGTCGGTAAACACGGCATCCTTCGCCAAGTCGGCAGCCATGCTGGGGAACTCAGAGGACCACACAGCTCTGTCGCGGGCCCTGTCGCAGTTGGCCGAGGTGGAGGAGAAGATCGATCAGCTGCACCAGGACCAGGCTTATGCTGATTTCTACCTGTTCTCCGAGCTGCTGGGGGACTATGTACGCCTCATCACTGCAGTCAAGGTATTCACTGGAGACCTGTACCACTGTGCTGGAATAAAACACTGGGGAGCAGCCTTATTCCGTGTGGGCCTCACATTTCTTTATCTGTATAATTCTTTAGCCCACACCGATATTCTCTTGTTTAGGATGTGCATATCACCTTCTTTTTTGATCACTGGACACCTAGCACAGTCCTATGAATGTATACGCTTACCTTCATTATCTGCAATACATTTTCAATTTCACTTAGAGTAAAATAACTTACGCACCAGCCCTCTATTACTACAAACCTTTGCCCTAATTCTGCTTTTCAAGATTTTGTCTCGGCTGTTGTAATAAAGGCATATTCCCATTTCGATTCCTTTTAACATGTGAGGTTAGCAGTGAACCTAAACATATGCTTTGTCTCTTTCCGTAGGGTGTATTTGACCACAGGATGAAGACTTGGTCCAAGTGGCAGGACACCCAGCTCTTGCTGCAAAAGAAGCGTGAGGCTGAGGCCAAACTCCAGTTCGCAAACAAGCCTGACAAGCTACAGCAGGCTAAGGACGAAATCAAAGAGGTAAGAGAAACGGGCACCTCACTAACAGGCAACCAGACGTTTTAATGATATGTGTGCTCAAATAGGCTAGATAGAATGACAAAACATAGCAAGGGAGGGAAGCTATATAGTGGCAGGACACCCAGAACAAAAACGTAAACGCAACATGTAAAGTGTTGGTCCGATGTTTCATGAGCTGAAATAAAAGATCCCAGAAATGTTCCATATGCACAAAAAGCTTATTTCTCTCAAATGTTGTGCACAAATGTGTTTACATCCCTGTTAGTGAGCAATTGCCAATATAATCATCTACCTGACAGGTGTGGCATATCAAGAAGCTGATTAAACAGCATGATCATTGCACAGGTGCACCTTGTGCTGGGGATAATAAAAGGCCACTCTAAAATGGACAGTTTTGTCACTCAACACAATGCCACAGATGTCTCAAGTTTTGAGGGAGCGTGCAATTGACATGCTGACTGCAGGAATGTCCACTAGAGCTGTTGCCAGTTAATTGAATGTTGATTTCTCTACCATAAGCCGCCGTCAACATCTTTTTAGAGAATTTGGCAGTACTTCCAACCGGCCTCACAACTGCTAACCACGCCAGCCCAGGACCTCCACATCTGGCTTCTTCACCTGCGGGATCGTCTGAGACTAGCCACCCGGACAGCTGATGACACTGTGGGATTGCAAAACCAAAGAATTTGGTGCTCTTTGTCTTCACCAGGGTCTTGACCTGACTGCAGTTCGGCGTCGTTGCCGACTTCATTGGGCAAATGCTCACCTTCAATGGCCACTGGCACGCTGGAGAAGTGTGCTCTTCACAGATGAATCCCAGTTTCAACTGTACCGGCGTCGTGTGGGCAGCGGTTTGCTAATGTCAATGTTGTGAACAGAGTGCCCCATGGTGGTGGTGGGGTTATGGTATGGGCAGGCATAAGCTACGGACAATGAACACAATTGCATTTTATCGATGGCAGTTTGAATGCACAGAGAGGCCCATTGTCGTGCCATTCATCTGCCGTCATCACCTCATGTTTCAGCATGATAATGCTCGGCCTCATGTCGCAAGGATCTGTACACAATTCCTGGAAGCTGAAAATGTCCCAGTTCTTCCATGGCCTGCATACTCACCAGACATATATCACCCATTAAACATGTTTGGGATGCTCTGGATCGACGCGTACGACAGCGTTTTCCAGTTCCCCCCAATATCCAGCAACTTCGCGCAGCCATTGAAGAGGAGTGGGACAACATTCCACAGGCCACAATCAACAGGCTGATCAAGTCTATGCGAAAGAGATGTATCGCGCTACATGAGGCAAATGGTGGTCACACCAGATACTGACTGGTTTTCTGATCCACGCCCCTACTTTTTTTTAAAGGTATCTGTGACCAACAGATGCATATCTGTATTCCCAGTCATGTGAAGTCCATATATTACTGTAACTCAGTAAAATCTTTGACGTTGTTGCATGTTGCGTTTATATTTTTGTTCAGTGTAGTTGGTTACAAAACATTTATTCAAGAAGTTAGTTTTCACATTGACAACATTTAAAACCCAAAATATAAGTTTAATTAAATTCATCTTGAACCACTAAAGCTTTATTTGAATGAAGCATGTTAACCCCAGTTGCTCTCCTTGATTTGGAATAGCAAGCCAACCTTAGTAGTGTGTCGGTTGTTTTGCTAACACAATTACTTGGGTTAATTTCGGCATTCATCTCTAGATCCATTATTTGGGCATCAGCTTGGGAAAACTGGTTAAAGGATCACAAATTATTAGCGTAGACTAATATTGCTAATTCGAGTATGATCATATTTGACATTACTTACAATTAGGCCATCATTACATGTTCCGCTACTCAACTTAACAGTCCTTAGCTTTATGAGAACACAATTCTATCTCGCCTTTTCCTCTCCTGCTACCCTACTACCTCTCCCTATGTGCATTGCCGTCGATTCAATTGTTAGAAACGCTTCTGAATTGTAGTCACATGCTTTCCACTTTCATTTAAACATAAGTAAATGTTTGCATTAAATATGAGAAACCTAAGAAATACTTTGTTTAGGATGTTTGTAACAGACAAGGTGAAAAATCGGTCTGTCCCCTTGAGCAAGACACTTAACCATAATTTGCTCCAGTGGTGCCATACTACTATGGCTGATCCTGTAAAACAACACATTTCACTGCACCTATCCTGTGTATGTGACAATAAAACATATATTTTTGTATTAATCATGTACTTACTAATTTAATATTGAACCATACTGCCCCCTCTGGTCAGTAATAAGTATTACACTAAGGACAATAATAATGGGTGGCGGTAGATTAATCCAGACGTTTTTGTCATAACAACGCATGCTACTGGGGATATTCACAGAGGGGTTGTTTTTTAAGTTGAATATCTCCCCTTTCAGTCTTGGGCATTACATGCTAACCAGGGTGACTGTTGTAATGGCTATTAACCTGCTTACCGTCTGCTTTGATCAGTGGAATGCCATTCCTCTGTAGTTCACCTGTGTTTGGCAACAGTGGGTTCATGTTTGAATTATTTTAAGAACAAAACATTTTCAAGCTCTTTAATTTCTGCATTTTCCCTGCCATGCCTCCACCAAGGAGATTGAGGAGGTAGGACCCTGGGCTTGGCTTTTTTAATTTACTTTTCTTCATCACTTACAGTTCCCTCCATTTCATCACTAAACTGCACCAATTGAAGTGCCTATCTAGTGTCACATTGATCATCTTTGTCAAAAGACTAAGTTTGGCTGATTCGTCATTTGAAACCCATAATGATATCAATAGACATGTGATCACTTTGGATTACTTTGGATCACTTTGGGACTAGGGCAGGGTTTCCCAAACTCTGTCCTCGGGACCCCAAGGGGTGCACGTTTTGGTTTTTTGTCCTAGCGCTACACAGTTGATTCAAATAATCAACAAGCTTTTTGATTTGAATCGGCTGTGTAGTATAAGGGCAAAAACCAAAACGTGCACCCCTTGTGGTCCCATGGACCGAGTTTGGGAAACGCTGGACTAGGGGATGAGGATTTGACAAAGTGAGGGTTGCAAACCTAATAAACAGAATATATAAATGGACTGTGCAAATTGGCACAGCATTGTGCAAACTGCTTAATGTGACTGTCTTACAGTATCTATACGAACAGGACTGTTTCGTATTTGTAAGTGTAAAAATGGGCTTGTCTTCAATTATTTTATTTTTTTTACTCCAACTTAATATTCATTGCTTCACCATTAACTTGGTATTGTCAATCATCTCCAGTAAATAGTGTGTTTACTTTACCCCATAACTCCTGAGAATTTGTCTATCCTCATTACTAGTAATTACTTAATAGCTTTTTCATTTTTTCAAATGCAACTGACTAATGGATAATGTATACAGTAGTAACTGACCAGTAACAGTTAATTCTGCAACAGGTTACAAGTGTATAAATACAGTACACCAGTATAGAATACATGTATACATTAGTGTACTTGTTTTGGACCGAGTACTTTCTTAGTGGAGAGAACTTGTCATTTTGTCTTTGCAGTTGGAGGGGAAGGTCCAGCAAGGTGAAAAAGACTTTGAGCTGATTTCCAAAACCATTCGAAAAGAAGTGAGCCGATTCGAGGTATGATGAACACGATAACATTTGACATCTTAGTCATTTAGCAGACGCTCTTATCCAGAGCGACTTACAGTTTAGTGAGTGCATACATTTTTTCATACTGGCCCCCCGTGGGAAACGAACCCACAACCCTGGCGTTGCAAGCGCCATGCTCTACCAACTGAGCTACACAGGGCCCCACCTTTTATGTATTTGGTTTCGCCCCAGAATATGGGCATCATGTGGATGGGAGGGGCCTGATAAACTAGAGTTTAGAAATGGGACAAATACAAATGTTTACCCTTATTGCTAGTTTGATGTTTCCATAACCACTGAATAGTTGATTTGTGATATCAAGATAGCCCTTACTAAAATATATATATATTTTTTTACTGCAGTATTATGAGGATACTTTTGATAGTGATTTATTACACCGAACCGTATGTCAAATCAAATCAAATCAAATCAAATGTTATTTGCCACATGCGCCGAATACAACAGGTGTAGACATTACCGTGAAATGCTTACTTACAGCCCTTAACCAACAATGATGTTATTTTGTCTGACCTGTGACCATGTCTCTCCCGTTACAGAAGGATAGGGTGAAGGACTTCAAAGTTGTCATTATTCAATACCTGGAGTCGCTTGTGCAAACACAACAGCAGGTACAGCATATCTGGGTTTGGATTCCTATTGGTAGTGTAGTGGGAGACTACACATGCACATACACCACTTGCACCAACTTGTAACAAATGTCATAATTTATATTTCATTAAGGAATGTATTAAAATATGTTGACAATTTAGTGTTTTCCCAGAATTCTACATACTATCTAATTAGCATAATAACTGCGGCAAGTTTACTTTTTGAAAGTGAAGTATTAGCATCAGAAAAGTGCATTGTGTGACAGTATACTATACATACACTACCATTCAAAAGTTTGGGGTCACTTAGAAATGTCCTTGTTTTCTAAAGAAAAGCAATTATTTTGTCCATTTAAAATAACATCAAATTAATCAGAAATACAGTGTAGACATTGTTAATGTTGTAAATGGCTATTGTAGCTGGAAACTGCAGATTTTTTTTTAATGGAATATCTACATAGGCGTACAGAGGCCCATTATCAGCAACCATCAGTCCTGTGTTCCAATGGCACGTTTTGTTTGCTAATCCAAGTTTATCATTTTAAAAGGCTAATTGATCATTAGAAATAGTACCCGCAAAAGACCAGTCTCAACGTCAACAGTGAAGGGGCGACTCCGGGATGCTGACCTTCTAGGCAGAGTTGCAAAGAAAAAGCCATATCTCAGACTGGCCAATAAAAAGAAAAGATGAAGATGGGCAAAAGAACAGACACTGGACTTTTTCTTTGCAATTCTGCCTAAGTCAGCATCCCGGAGTCGCCTCTTCACTGTTGACGTTGAGACTGGTGTTTTGCGGGTACTATTTAATGAAGCTGCCAGTTGAGGACCTGTGAGGCGTCTGTTTCTCAAACTAGACACTAATATATTTGTCCTCTTGCTCAGTTGTGCACCGGGGCCTCCCACTCCTCTTTCTATTCTGGTTAGAGCCGGTTTGCGCTGTTCTGTGAAGGGAGTAGTACACAACGTTGTACGAGATCTTCAGTTTCTTGGCAATTTCTCGCGTGGAATAGCCTTCATTTCTCAGAACAAGAATAGACTGACGAGTTTCAGAAGAAAGTTATTTGTTTCTGGCCATTTTGAGCCTGTAATCAAACCCACAATTGCTGATGCTCCAGATACTCAACTTGTCTCAAGAAGGCCCGTTTTATTGCTTCTTTAATCAGCACAACAGTTTTCAGCTGTGCTAACATAATTGCAAAAGGGTTTTCTAATGATCAATTAGCCTTTTAAAATGATAAACTTGGATTAGCAAACACAACATGCCATTGGAACACAGGACTGATGGTTGCTGATAATGGGCCTCTGTAAGCCTATGTAGATATTCCATAACAAATCAGCCGTTTCCAGCTACAATAGCCATTTACAACATGAACAATGTCTACACTGAATTTTTGATCAATTTGATGTTATGTTTTTTTCTTTTCTTTCGATAACAAGGACGTTTCTAAGTGACCCCAAACTTTTGAACGGTAGTGTATGTCTGAAAACATACTTTGAAATAATATACTTCCTAAATATACTATTTGAAAGGGAAATAAACATATGGGCCTAATACAACTAAATGTTTTGCTGTTTAGTTAGATTTTTTTTAAAACTGACAATAGACATTAATGAACTTCATTTTCATAAGGATTACCTTAAAAGTCTGAAGCATGGTCATGTAGCTAATGGATCCTCACTGTAGTTTCCCTTCTGCTCCACAGCTGATAAAGTATTGGGAGGCGTTCTTACCTGAAGCCAAAGCTATCGCATAATAACTGGATGGCCCGCCTTGCCTGCATTTTTGCCAACCACAGCACCCCTGTCTGATGATCACACATTTTCTTATGTTTACGTCCAGATCACGCCTTCAAGAGGATGCACAGAGAAACAAAATACACTTTTTGACATGCGAATTGCTCACCCTCCGCAGTTACCCTATGATTTCACCTGAAAGAAGCACCTGTCCTATTTCTGTTGAGAGATTAACCCCATGAGGACTGTGATAAGCCAGGGACTTCGCACTCCCTGTTTGATCAAACACTACTACTACTCTGTCTTATTTACTACCAGAATGATTTGTGGGTTTGATATTTGCCACCTAATGTGCAATGGTTGACGATTTCTTTAATATAATTTTTTGTTGTATTGTTTCATTTGAAGGCCTTGTTCCCCCCCCCCAATAAAAAAAAAAAACTGTGATCTTTTCTTTTCACTTTACATTCCTGTGCTGCAAATGTTTGAGTACTTTAATTCTAATAAAGGAATGTATCTCAGTGTTGGATGTGATGTTTTGAAATGGTATATTTGTTGTGCATATCACTTGGCTGACAGGCCTTGTCTTTGTGTACAGTACAAAAGGAGTTTTCAGTTACTACGGTGCTTCATACGTATTCTATGCGGACCACGTGATAAACCCCACCTCTTTAAGGAATACCTGGGATAGGATAAAGTAATCCTTCTACCCCCCCCCAAAAAAAATTTGTAAAGTGGTTATCCCACTGGCTATAGGGTGAATGCACCAATTTGTGAGTCGCTCTGGATAAGAGCGTCTGCTAAATGACGTAAATGTGCCCTTGAGCAAGGCACTTAACCCTAATTGCTCCTGTAAGTCGCTCTGGATAAGAGCGTCTGCTAAATGACTAAAATGTAAATGTAAATGTAATATTTTCTGAGGAGAGCTTGTTTATTTTTTTTAAAGTTCCACTCATTCTCATTAAAATATACTTTAAAATACTAACACTGTACATGTCATTGAGACAAACACTGAGTGTACAAAACATTAGGAACACATGCTCTTTCCATGACAGACTGACCAGGTGAATCCAGGTGAAAACTGTGATCCCTTATTGATGTCACCTGTTAAATCCACTTAAATCCGTGTCGATGAATTGGAGGAGATGGGTTAAAGAAGGATTTAAGCCTAGAGACAATTGAGACATGGATTGTGTGCGTGCCATTCAGAGGGTGAATGGGCAAGACAAAATATTTAAGTGCATTTGAATGGGGTATGGTAGTAGGTGCCAGGCACACTGGAGTGTGTCAAGAACTGCAACGCTGCTGGGTTTTTCACACTGAACAGTTTCGTGTGTGTCAAGAATGGTCCTCCACCCAAAGGACATCCAGCCAACATGACATAACTGGGAAGGATTGGAGTCAACATGGGCCCGCATCTCTGTGGAATGCTTTTGACACCTTGTGTAGTCTATGAATTGAGGCTGTTCTGAGGGCAAAAGGGGGTGCAACTCAATATTAGGAAGGTGTTTCTAATGTTTTGTACACTCATTGATTGAACTACCAGTTGTTATAAGCAGTGGCCAATATTACAACTGCATTTATACTGGCCAGTATTACGTCTCTTGTAGCCCAACAACTTTATACAGAACACAATCATCCCGACATGTCCTGTCAAGTGTTTAGAACTGCATAATACATCTTCAATGCGCTGTCAAAAAGTCCAGTGCACATGACTTTGCATTGTCGCTGTCGTATTGACAAGCTGTCATATTAATGCATTGCTTTAGGTATCTGTAAAAGAGGATATTCATATGTGAGGCAGCCTGTTATGAGAGACACGAAGTGAGTCCTCTCCTTAAGGGCCTGTGTGTATGGGACCATGTCACTATTGACACCACTCAATTTAGTGCTCTTGCAGGGAACCACAAAGCCCAGTTTCACTAGAAACTCACAGGTGCTTTCACTAGCACACACATGCCTACCCTTTTATGGTGATTTGATACAATGCAGGAGACTAAGCTGTTGAAACAGGAAACACTCCAAAATCGTATCGGGTGTATTCATTATGCCGATTCTGTTGCAAAATGTTCTTAAACGGAACAAAACCGGGAGGGACCCACCTGAATTTGTCCAATAGAAACTCATTAGTTTGGACTAATGATTACAAGTTGTCACGTACTGTACTACTATACTACATCTTGAATGAAAGATATCCACCCATAGTTAGTTTCAGTGGAACATGTAATGCCACCTCATTGAACGTTTGGTTGATTCAACCAATTGTGAGTTAAACCAGTTAGTTAGGATATTGTTTGTTGGTGAGACAAAAGTCAGGGCCAGGGTTGGGGGTAAATTCCATTTAAATTCAGGAAGTAAACTGAAATTCCTATTCCAAATTTGTACTCATAGAGAAGCATTGAAAATGGAATTGTAATTTCAGATTAATTTCTGACTCTTGTCAAGAGGAACGAGACCTACTGTGTGCACACACACTGGACTCTACCCACACACTCACACATACTGGACTCTACCCACACACTCACACATACTGAACGCTACCAACACACTCCCACATACTTACACTGACACTACATATGCCCACACACACATAACGTGTACACACATACACACTGATGCCGCACACACACACACTTACACACTCACCTCTTACCCCTGCACATTGACTCAGTACTGGTATATAGCAATTCTTACTCATTATTGTTATCCACTGTGTATTTATTCCCTGTGTCACTATTTCAATGTTTTATTAAAATGTGTATCTTTATCTTTAACTCCGCATTGTTGGAAAAGGACCTGTAAGTAAGCATGTGACAAATACACATTTATTTGATTTTGCATGACCGTTATCTCACTATAAGATTTTGTTGTACTGTTTTGTAGTATTGTCTCTCACTTACTGACACATCCTGTGTTCCATGTAGAAAATGCATCAATAGCCTCTTCTTATTATCAAAAATAATGAAAAAGAAATTTTGACAGGGTTGAGCTACTCAAAACATATTTTTATATGTAATTATTTTTTTGGGGGAAAAACCTATTTCTATCCCGCTGTATTCAGTACTCTGGAATATTATATCTTGTACATTTGTATTTAATGTGTAATTTGCTTTTAGGTAAATGCATTTACAAATGTATGTAAATGTATTTAATTGTTCAGAAATTGGTGCTGTTTGAGTGGCACTGTAAAGGAGACACTAAGTGATCGCATGGATAAGCATATTCTAGATAAGCCTATTCTGCATCCTATAGGCCAAACCTTATCCTCACATCGTTGGCATTCAGAGCAGGTTTAGAATAATGTAGGTACATTTATTTTACCTCATCAATTACACAAAAACACTCTGAATGTCTCTCTATTTTCCCTTTGTAGTTTTAACATTCCTCAGTATATGTACACTGAGGTAAAAAAGAGCCGAATGAACAAAAAGCTACAGAACAGATAAAAATGTTGTCTAGCATTGGCTTTATTTATCATATCTCCAAATAGCAATGTAATGGTGTGTTATGGTCAAAATACAGTGACCTTACTTGATCAAGTACACCCTCAGCCCACAGATAAGAAGAGCAATATAATAGAGTACACTGAAAAGAGTGTACTGTAATTATTTGTGCCCTGTCAAGAGAAGGCCCCTGGACCCCTAGCGATTCAAATCTGAGAGCACTACGTACAGCAGGAACTAACCCTTGCCAACATGAGACAAATATCGCCCTGCTCCTGCGACATGGCTGAAATTGCACCAGTTTGTCATGCACACTGCTGCCAGCTCTCCTGAAATATAATTTGCTTGCAAATGTGAGCCCCCTTTCTCCCAGATCTCTAGCAGTCGTCTCAGTGGTTAGACATTTGTCTTTCCACTGTCACTATCAGTGAGCAATGATTACTCTCTGGGCTTTGTATTTTTCTACACAGTTGTGCTGATAAAGAGATAATAAAGAAGAAAATATTTGAATGCATCTGTTTTGTACTATTTTGTAATTATGCAGGATTGTGGACATGACGTAAAACAAATTGTTTCCCATATTGGTTCTTTTTGGTGGTCTTTGTGTAATCTGCCTGGTTATGCCTTTGGTTTTTCTTTACATATTTTAGTCAAAGTTGTACAGGGTGACCATTCATTGCAGAGTGTTTGCTCAGAGCTTACATGACATTCACGCTGAAATGACGTGAACAACATACGTTTTATAAACAATGTTACTCATTGTGTATTTATTATTACTTTTATTATTACGTGTTATTACTTTTCTATTATTTATTTGTTTTGTCTCTCTCTCTCTCTCTGCATTGTTGGGAAGGTCCTGTAAGTAAGCATTTCACTGTTAGTCTACACCTGTTGTTTACGAATCATGTGACAAATCAAATTTGATTTGATTTTAATATGTCTTTTTTTCTGACTTTTAGTGTGAAGCAGCTAACTCACTGATAGATTGCATTCGAAAATGTCTATTAAATCTGTCTCGAGTTCATGTACTAAAGGATAAGGGGGGGGGGGATGAAGTTCAGTGCCCAATCGTATTCATTTCTTTCTCTTATCTGTTGATAGTGTGGCTCCTGTGGTCTCGGATTATCCTTTGCCTGCTCATTTTGTGGCTGGAAGAGAAATGACTCCCCGTTGAGCTCATATTAGTTTCTGTGTCTTACCACCAAACCTTAATTCCACAGCTCAACACTGAGCATGTGGCCCTCTGGCGTCAGGGACTCCGGGTCATTGGAGTCAGAGGAGATGAGGCCTGATAACTAGCAAAGTGCTCCGATGAGCAAGTCTTTCTGTTCTGGTTAAATGCAGAAGATGTGATATTATCCATGGGTGACTATTAAACTGGGCTCAATCTGCACTTCCAAATGAGGGTCACTGTCTGCAATCGTTGCCACAGCATTTAAAGGAGTTTAAGTGTTTTGTTTAAGAGCATTTGAACCCAAAGTGCTATCACTTTAGTCAAAGTTAGAGACTGCCATACATTAGGAACTTATTATCCTATGGGGTGAATAATATACATTAAAAGGAGGTTTAAAAAACGGGAAAAAGCGGCCTTGGGGATGGGTCGAACAAAGGTCGTGCAGCCAATCCGAATAATATAATAGTCTTCTGTTTGCTAACAAACTAGAATATGTATGTGAATTCAGATTACTTCTCAATTGCTTATAGCAATATTGTCAACATGGCCATTTACATGACCACTAGATCTTCGTTAAAGCACTCTCCCTTGTTTTTAAGATTCCTTAAAAAAAGATTGATCGTCTTCACAGAATGACTTTCTGTCCAAGTGGTAATGATTATGCAGATACCACAACCTTTACGTTTGACTTGAGTTCCCATGGGTACCAATGCCACTGTCTTGTTCCAAGCATGTCTGTCCTCTTGTGCTTAGTTTGTTTTTTATTTCTCGTTCATATTATCTATTCAGTTATTTATTTGTAAAGTAGTTGGGTGCACCATTTTGTAGGACGCGTGGATGAGGAGAGATTAATTTAATGTAATAAATGTTTTTGAAGGACACAAAGTGAATTTCAATATCACAATGTAAGAGCTTTAGTGATGTAGCTATACTCCCTTGTCCTTTTGGTGACATTCATTGTTGATTTAATAATGCTGGAAGTCCTTGTGGAATATTGACAGGGGCCTTTTCACAATATCTCTGCTCTTCCTTCTGGTTAGGACTGTTTTCCTTTCATATTCAGTTTTTTCTGCGACTTGATTTTATTTGACAGAAAATATTCCTGAGCACCACAAATGCCATTGTGAATTTCAGCGATGGCAGACATATTGATCCTGTGCATTTGCATACATAAATCTATTGGCTATCTGACACTTGCCAATATTTCCGCATCCTGAGAGCTGTGGTGCTGACTCCTGCACAGCACATTATCATTTGTGATGGGCCTTTTATGGACTCTGACAGTTTTCCCTCACTGTCTACTCATGGCAATACGAGCAGTTAACTGTGCAGATATTATTACATTCTGTTTGTTATTTTATTTTAACAGAATTTATTTTAGCATCTGATTTAAGATATTGATCAAGTGCTTTTATTAACGTCACTAACAATCAAAGCCATTATGAATGCGTTGAGAAAATATAATTTACCTCATTGTGAGTGGTCCAAAATCGAGGCTCCTGCTGCCTGTTGTCTTTGTTCGCTTCGGGGAAAGGTCAGAATTGCAAAGGGAATTAATTTAATTGTGAGAGGGTGCAGCTGGCAGTGTCAAATGGCTTTGGCTGGAGTTCTTCCCATTTCATTAACTGGCCACGTTCCAATTCCTCGCCCTGTAAATGCACTGTGACACCCAAGCATTTAGTATGCAAGAGATTATGAATGGGCACGATTAGCAGTTAATAGCTCTGATGTGCTAGGAGGCCGCTCCCATCAACACCTATACAAACCAATCAGCAGGGTCTTTAAAATGATATAAATACAAGTGGCGTGATGTAATGAAGTTGTGTTCTTTAAAGCACTCTGTTGGGCAGCATAATGTCTTGGTTGGTAAGTGCCTATCTCAGATATAACCTCATCTGCTCCCTTGAATAGTTTTACACTGATCAATAAACAGTTTCCCCTGGCCTTTCACTGGTGTCACTTGACATTGAGGGATGGAAATTTATGTCAGAAACTAGCTTGACAGTTTTCCTTTTGCTACTTTGGAAATTACTCAAACGGTGACGGCTACAGCGGAGGTCGTTTTCAAACACAAAGTTCCTTCCCACTGGGCACAAACTGGTTGAATCAACGTTGTTTCAACTTAATTTGTCAACGTATTGTGATGTGGAATCTTCGTGGAAAATACATTGGATTTGAAAAAAGTAATCTGTTGTTTTGAAGGTGAAATTTGAGGGGAGGACGGCTCATAATAATGGCTGGCAAGGAGCGAATGGAATAGCATCAAACACATATAAACCATGTGTTTGATACCATTTCACACATCCGCTCCAGCCATTAACACGAGCCAATTAAGGTGCCACCAACCTCCTGTGATATCCACTATGACAAAATAAACAACAATAGGCTGGGCAGCACCTCCTACTGTAGAATGTATCTATCTACAGCTACCCTTTGGTCTCCTATCCAGGGTTTTAACCAGGCCCTGCTTAGCTATTATATTTGTCACTGGCTATTACTAATGTGCTATCATGAGAATGACTGTTAAAAACTAAATAGGTTCACTGTTGCTATCGAAGTCATTCCAAAGGGTATAGGTTTAATAGATAAATGAAATGTGACCATACTTTATCACTCATATATCATCAATGATGCTATTTAGGCCTATAGTTCCCTCAGAAAGTATTCACACCCCTTGACTTTTTCTACATTTTGTTGTCTTACAGCCTGAATTTAAAATGGGTTAAATTGAGATTATTTGTCACACACAATACCCCGTAATGTCAAAGTGAAATTATGTTTTTCCTTTTTTTTCTTTTTGCCACCCTTTGTTGTGGCAAGCCTAAATAAGTTCAGGGGTCAAATGTTGCTTAACAAGTCACATAAGAAGTTGTATGGACTCTCTCTGTGTGCAATAATAGTGTTTAACATTATTTTGGAATGACTACCTCATCTCTGTACCCCACACATACAATTATCTGTAAGGTTCCTCAGTCAAGCAGTGACTTTCAAACACAGATTCAACCACAAAGACCAGGGAGGTTTTCCAATGCCTCGCAAAGAAGGGCACCTGTTGGTAGATGGGTAATATATATATTTTTTAAGCAGACATTGAATTTCCCTTTGAGGATGGTGAAGTTATTAATTACACTTTGGATGGTGTATCAATAAAGGTACAGGCGTCCCTTCCTAACTCAGTTGCTGGAGAGGATGGAAACCGCAGAGGGATTTCACCATGAGGCCAATAGTGACTATAAAACAGTTACAGAGTTAAATGGCTGTGATGGGAGAAAACTGAGGATGGATTAACAACATTGTAGTTACTCCACAATACTAACCTAATTGACAGAGTGAAAAGAAGGAAGCCGGTACAGAATACAAATATTCTAAAACATGCATCCTGTTTGCAACAAGGCACGAAAGTAATACTGCAAAGGAAATTGGCAAAGCAATTAAAGTGTTATGTTTGTGGCAAATCCAATACATCACGTTACTGAGTACCACTCTCCATATTTTCAAGCATAGTGGTGGCTGCATCATGTTATGGGTATGCTTGTCATCATTAAGGACTGGGGAGTTTTTCAGGATAAAAATAAACTGAATGGAGCTAAGCACAGGCAAAATCCTAGAGGAAAACCTGATTCAGTCTGCTTTCCACCAGACACTGGGAGATTAATTCACCTTTCAGCAGGACAATAACCTAAAACACAAGGCCAAATCTACACTGGAGTTGCTTACCAACAAGACAGTGAATGTTTCTGAGTGGCCAAGTTACAGTTTTGACTTAAATCTACTTGAAAATATATGGCAAGACTTAAAAATGGTTGTCTAGCAATGATCAACAACCAATTTGACAGACCTTGAAGAATTTTGAAAAGAATAATGGGCAAATGTTGCACAATCCAGGTGTGGAAAGCTCTTAGAGACTTACTCAGAAAGACTCACAGCTGTAATCGCTGCCAAAGGTGCTTCTACAAAGTATTGACTAAGGGGTGTGAATACTTACTATACTTAATGAGATGTTTCTGTATTTTATTTTCAATGAATTTGCTAAAAGTTCTAAAATAATGTTTTCACTTTGTCATTATGGGGTATTGTGTGTACATGGTCGAGAGAGAAAAAAAGCAATTGAATCAATTTTGAATTCAGGCTGTAACACAACAAAATGTGGAATAAGTCAAGGGGTATGAATACTTTCTGAAGGCACTGTATAGCATTTGCAAAGTCATCAACAGTTATTGTTTCAATTCCACCCAGAATTCAACTAACAATAGACAATACAATAGGCTAGGGTTTTCAGCTCTGGTTGATTTCAAATTGTATGAGATTTAGTGATATTGAATTGTGTTTGGTTGTCAACGCAACCTAATATCAACATTTGAATTAGATGTAGACAAATCCAGTTTGTCTCCAAATTAATAATTTATATGTCTCCATCTCAAAGTTTGATTTGAATTAGTCCTATTCTTTGACTTAGATTTTTGGTTGAGATGGAGACGTGAATCTAACACATCAATTATTAATTTGTAGACAAACTGCAATTAAAGCCAGACTAAGTCAGTGGCACGGATGGAACTTTCCAAGCAGAAGATAAATATCCTTCAAATGTTTATTTTTGGCTGACAACCAAACACAATATCACTTTTGAAATACAATAAATAGCCAAAGTTAAAGCTATTTTACAAATGAATGTAACATTCAACCTTAAAATGAGTAATACATCCATGGCTAAATTTTGAGGTTACTGCAACTATACATTTCTTCTTATGTAATCATATAAAGCATGTTCAAGATAGCATCCATAGGTCATCGCAGGTCTGTGGAGATCTTCATGATTGCTGTAATAATCTGTGCAGAATCTCAAATGGCATTGATCACTCGGACCATGTACTTTTACTGCAATCCAGGTCATTTGGTTCTGCTATTAGATGAAGCACAGTGATAACACATGAATCTGTTGTATAAATAAACAAAATATCTGACATTGTATTCCCATTTGAACTTTGCTGTGTTTTTAAAATGGTTGAAAGCGCAGTGATAGACATTTGGGTGACAACTAAACCAAAAATCAGACATTGTTTTTCCATTGGATTTTGGTTGTGCTTTTAGATGGTTGAAGACATAGTGATAACACATTGA